TGATCTCAGCCCAGTGCGCGATGCATGGGTAGCAGAATTGGTGGAGGCATGGCATCACGTAGTTGGCCTCCTCCCAGCTGCCCAGGCAGATCGGACAGCAGTCCTCCGGCTCCGTGGCCATGCTCTCCACGTGCTGCGGTGGGCTGCGGGAGATGGGGATGTCGACCCGTTCCCTCTCGCAGGCCCTGCTGCAGCAGTGGATGTCGCGTTAGAGAAGGCAGAGAGGCCACAGCCATTGGCTGGTGCAGGGAGGGGTGGAAGAAATGTCCAGGTCCCTCAAGAAGGAAATCCTCCCAGCTGCCCAGGGCCAGGATTTCCTGCCCAGATCACCTCTGCTGCTGCGAGCGTGTCTCCTGGCTGCCCCCGCCGCCCGGAACCGGCCGGGGCCGGGGAGGATTTCCTGCCCAGATCACCTCTGCTGCTGCGAGCGTGTCTCCTGGCTGCCCCGGCTGCCTGAAGCTGGCAGGGCCGGGGAGAATCCTTGTGTGGCTCTGGGGCCGGGCAGGGGGAGTTGCAGTGAAGAACTCCCCGAGCATGACCTCAGCACCAGCAACAGCCTCGCTCAACACTCCAACCTCGCGTACTTGCTCAGCTGGCGTGTGGGGACGAGCTGCCCGGGTGAGACTCAGCACCAGGGTAGAAGCAGAGAGGGACATGTGGTCACAATCCGTCGCCTGAGGACATCCCAGTCCATTGCTTGGAGATGTCACAGTGTGTGCCTCGGCAACATCAGAATTCATCACTCGGGGACACCTTCGTCCATTGCTGGGGCACGTCACCATCCTTCCCTTGGGGCACCATCCTTCTCCTCAGTGCTCACACACGTGTCCAGCGTTACTGCAACGCCACTGTGCACTCCATCCCCGCCTCTCCTGTCTTGTGCTCGGCAGCAGTGTTTCCTGCCAGTCAGCAAGGCCTCGGCCGTGTCCTCCTTGGGCCCGTCATGTTGCCTGTGGCACTAGTGAAGAATCACAGAATCACAGAATCACAGAATGTTCGGGGTTGGAAGGGACCTCTGTGGGTCATCTAGTCCAACCCTCCTGCCAAAGTAGGGTCACCTACAGTAGGCTGTAGAGGACCTTGTCCAGGCAGGTCTTGAATATCTCCAGAGAAGGAGACTCCACAA